TGCTCCCATGGCAGAATTTTATGTTGTGGAGTACTTTCCTCTTATTTAGTCTTTTGGTAACAATGATTGGTAAAGCTGTAGATGGAAAGTTAAGGGCACTTCTTGTCTCACCAGCCTAGTTCTAAATGCAGAAGAAAACTTTATGAAATTAAATTCACCCTGTTGGTTACATGGGAGCTGATGTGAGGGTTTGGCTTATCGTCTAGGCTTATGACATTTTCTGTTATGTGGACATTGCAGACTTTAATACAGATAAAATAATATATAAGCTCAGTGAACTTTTATATGAGTATGTCTATAACCAGTTCATGGAAAATGGATTGTATTTGGTTTAAAAAGAAGTTTGTTTGGGTATCTGCTATAAGGTAATGACCTAGAGCAAGAGTTTTCATTTTGACTTTTTACAAATGTCCTGTTCACGCTCTGAATGCTTCTGTCATTTGCAGAAATGTGTAGTGAGGGTTAATTACCACTTTTTTCCAAAGGTAGATATTTTGGAGATCTCTCTGAAATATATTTGTCATTTCACAGAACTGTCTCATTGTGCTTTTTTTTTTTTTTTAAATTTATATAGTGTATTATGTGAAGAAGGCCCGAAATCACCGCTGGCGGTGCAGTGATGTGACATTTTGGTGTGTTGATGAGCACTTGTGTAATCAGTGGATACAAGCACTGAAAGAATTACTTGAAATGCAGAGTAAGTTTGACTAAACTACTAACATTTGCAACATCATTTTACAGGTTTGTACGTAAATTAATATTATTTTGATATATCTGCTTTTTTTGAACTCTTAAAGAGCAGCTTATGCTCAAAAGTTGAGGGAACTGAGAGTTAAGTGTCACATTCTTCCTGTGTCTACTTCTGTATGTTGCATATTTGCTGAGTTGTACTGAGTGTTGTACGCTAATTGGTCAGGACTATAGGTGTCTTATAATTTTGCCCAGATGTAAATTATTTTCACAAAATAGGGACATGTTAGAAGCTTAGCAGAGCCTTTAAATTACTGTAGCTTTGGAAAGCATAAAGGGCAGATGTAAGCTCAGAGATTTAAGGTACTCTAGAGATCCAAGAATGACGACTGTAGCAATTATAAGGTTTATGGATGGCTTTTTGTGTGTCTGTCTCACCTTTCCAGTCTTTCTCATCGATGACGTGCCATTAATAATTTCTGGGACTCTTGGACGTCTACTTCTTAGAAGGCTAGAAGTAGTTTTGCAGGAGTTATTCCTGAAAGAGATACCTTGATAGAAGTTGGGGAGCGGCAGGAGCAGAGCAACTCCATGACAGAAGGGAGGTTGAGGATGGCCATGGCACAGACAGTGCCCTCACCAACCGGGGTGCAGCCCCACTGTATCTGAGCAGGGATGGGGATAGCAGCAGGTCCCATCTACATCCCAGATGAGATAAAGTAAATAGGTCTATCCAGGGAGGTCGGACAGGAGCAGCAGGAGATGGAGATGGAGCTGGGGGCAGGACTGGAGATAAGCTACCTACAGTGTAGGTCTGAGGTCCATCTGAGACATAGAGCCAGAGAAGGGACTGGATACAAGTACATCTACAGTGTGACTCAAGCAAGTACTTAAGGCTCACAGAATAAAAATGGATATTTAACAAAAAATGTTCTTCTGATCAGGCATTGTAAGCGTGCATCTTACTAATGTTTTTGTTACACAAGGTATCTAGCTTCCAGTAAAATAATTAAAAAAATGGGGTTTGTGCACCCATTAGGTACGCCTCTGAGAGATGCAGCCTGGGCAGTCATCTCTGAGTGCAGGTGTTCAGTCTATCAGTAACAAACTATTTCAGAAGAGGTGACAGGTTCTCAGAGAGATTGAATGATGCTTTGGGTGTGTGACAGCTTTAAACCACTCACACAGTCGAGCTTGGGTGTATTTATTATGCAAGTGTGCTGATCTAATAATTCTGTTTATTCTTTCCTTTTAAAATAATAATTTGGAATGCCATCTGAGGAAGTGTGAATGTTATAACAGGTCTTTGTATTCTATAGAAAAAAGGAAGGCTCTCTAGCTGCAGCAAGCATTACCGTTCTGTGTGTCTGTTAGTACAGAGGTGTAATAATTTTCATTGCCACCACCAATGTAAACCCATAACTATTTGAACAAACTTGAGATAGTAATATCAAAGGTGCTTTCCAGCAGGAAGGGGTTACACAGTAGGGCAAGCACTTACTGTGCAGCACGTAGTTTTGTGAGGTATTCTTATTGTGTCTTTATCACAGGAAGGAAATGTATTATAACTTATGTTATCAAAGCAAGAATGTTGTTTAAATAAATTAATGTAAAAGTATTTCTATGTATGCTTCACTCACAAGTGCCTTTTCTATTGATGCTCTTGGTTTGTCCTTTGTCATGTGTGCCTGTGATACTAATGTCCTTTAGTGGGAAGGTACTGCAAGAATAATATGCATAAGAATGTGAGACGTGGAGTCACATGAAATGATTCTGAATTTCACTTGATGTCTTATGACAAATTTGTTCAATACTGTCAGTATCCTCAGTGTAATAAAAAGGATAGGTGAAGGAGGTTTTTATAGCTCTTTGAGCAAGAGTTATAGAGTTATAACCCAGCAATGTGCAGTCACAGCCCAGAAAGCCAACTGTATCCTGGGCTGCATCAAAAGAAGTGTGGCCAGTATGTCAAGGGAGGTGATTCTGCCCCTCTACTTTGCTCTGGTGAGACCCCACCTGGAGTGCTGCATCCAGCTCTGGAGCCCTCAGCACAGGAATGATATGGGCCTGTTGGAGCGGGTCCAGAGGAGGGCCACAAAATAATTAGAGGGCTGGAGCACCTCTCATGAGGAGAGGCTGAGAGAGTTGCAGTTGTTCAGCCTGGAGAAGGCTCCAGGGAGACCTTATTGTGGCCTTCCAGTACCTAAAGGGGGCTTACGGGGAAGATGGGGGGGGACTCTTTCTCAGGGAGTGTAGTGATAGGACGAGGGATAACGGTTTTAAACTGGAAGAGGGTAGATTTAGATTAGCTATTAGGAAAAAATTATTTACTGTGAAGGTGGTGAGACACTGGAACAAGTTGCCCAGACAAGTTGTGGATGCCCCATCCCTGGAGGTGTTCAAGGCCAGGCTGGATGGGGCTTTGAGCAACCTGGTCTAGTGGGAGGTGTCCCTGGCCATGGCAGGAACTAGATGGTTGGAACCAGGTGATCTTTAAGGTCCCTTCCAACGGAAACCATTCTACAATTCTATAAGAGTTAATAAAAAGTTATAAAAGGCTTTTGTGCCTTTTGTGTTCACTTTGTTTACAGGTTTGTTTTTATATAGCTTGTTGAAATTTATTTTTGTATACAAAAGCAGTGTACTAGAATATTTTCCTTTACTGCAGAGTCGAGACCAAAGCAGTTGCTTGTGTATATCAATCCGTATGGAGGAAAACGACAAGGGAAGAGGATTTATGAACAGAAGGTTGCTCCACTCTTCAGTCTGGCCTCCATCTCCACTGATGTTGTTAGTGAGTAATGAATATTTAAATTTCTTAATTAACACAATATGAACTGCTTAAAACATCTCTGAGTAGCTTAAGTTCTTTTGTTACTTAGTTTCATTTCCTTACTATGGAAAGATAAGTGGTAGAGAGGGAATGTCTTCTTGTTGAAGCATAGGTAGCCAGATAAATGATGACCTTATATGAATTTTCTGCTTACTAAACTAAAACTTCTGGTACTTTAGAGCTATTTGAGCTCTTAGTTTGTAAGATACTTTCTTATCTTTTTCAGTTTTACTGTTTAAAACCAATTGTTTATTTGCACAATTTTATAGTGAAGTATTTTTCCATATATACTACAGTGCTTGTATATTTCAATTCTTTCTTTGGCATAAAAATCTTTTGAAAGACGTTTTATGGGCAGGCTGTTTTATGGTCACATTGGTAATAGAATTATGGTTATTAATGAATTAATAATAGCATTTTTATAATCGTATATTACATACCATTTTGTAATAGTATTTTTAGTAAAGTAATTTTTAATGTGTTTATTTCTTCATAGTAACTGAACATGCTAACCATGCTAAGGACAATTTATTTGAAGTTAATATTAATAAATATGACGGGTGAGTAACTTCACTTGCCTTTTTTTTCTTTCCTAGCTGATATATTCTGTAATCAGTCTGTTCTTGTCTCTAATTTAAAATAGCAGCCTTCATTGCTGATATGTTTATTGCAACAGCTGAGAGTTCTGGGATATATTTCTTTCCATAAGAGAATCACGTGTAGGAGTATCAAAGGAAAACTAAACTGTTTCAGTAAACCTGTTCAACACACAATGTATTCAAGTGTAGTATATCAAAGTTTGCAAGTGTAGTATATCAATGTTTGCATGATTTTTGTGCTCAAAAAATGAATGTAATATAAATTCTGCTTGTCCAGAAGTTGAGCATTCTGTGACAGGTTGAAAACTACCCTGAAGTGTTTGGTGGTATAGGTGATCTTGACATATACATGAGTCCAGAAAACTGCATCAGTAGCATTCAGCTTGTGTGTTAAAACCATGAACTATTTAGAAATGTTTCGGTTAGTTCCTCTTGCTATGTAGGACTGTTCAAATAAAGGCTACATTATTTGGCTTGATTTGTGTTTGTTCTTTTGTGGAATTACTGTTTTAAAAGAAGACCTAACTGAATAGTGAAATTGCATTCCATTATTAAATCTGCAGTAGAAGCAGAATATTTTAATAAATAAGCTAGTCGTTCCAGTTTCTAGTTCGTGACATGAAGCAAGTTACGTGACTGGAGAATCATGAAAAATGTATGCAGAACTTGTGCAGATAAACTCTCATAACTACAGTATTTTGAAGTAATACCTTGTCGTGCTTATTGACAGGTACATTTAAACAGATAAGTTGCAAAACTAAAACACTTTATCTTTTCACAGTGCTTTTGCTAGTGGAAAGGATCTGTATGTATTGTATAAATAGAGTGAGGGCACGATGTTGACCAGTTGTGCTAGTAAGAAACCACATTCACAAATTGACTTCCTAGACTTAACCTGCTTTAAAATGAGTTGACTTGAAGCAAGCAGTTTTGACTATACTGGGATTTTTCTTAATTTTGCAGAAGTGCAAGGAAAGGAAACTGGGATCCTAGAAAAACCTAGTTAGTTATGATTTTTCCTCTTCCTTTGACTTAAATGATTTGTAATAGATAATACTGTCAGTTGGTGAAGTTCTGATACCAAAGCAGAAAAGAAAAGTAAGTGAGGCCATGTCCACTCCTAGCAAATTGTTTTTTACAAGTGGCAGTAACCAATTGTATTGGTACCTGAAGTGCTTTTGGCAGATTCAAACAGTTTGTTACTGTAGAATTCTTTTTTTTCTTTGGTGAGGCTTTTTGGTTTTCTCTCTCTAACATGACTGAGTTAAACAACTGGCCACAGAACTGCATCTTTTTAGAATTTCATGATTCTTCTGTTCCCAGAATGGGCCTTTATGGCGTTTAGCTTGGGAACTGCAACCTGTCTTTCCAAGCCTGATTTGTATCCATCAAGCACAAGTCTGTTTCTGTGGTGGTCTGTGATGTTAGGAAGGAATTCTTGGATTAATACTACTTTTTAAAAACAGAGCATGTAGTTACATGGAAGATTATTAAACTGGTTGAACTCACATAAGTGCATGTGTTTCTTCAAGTTTGACTCTTCTGACATACAGGAAAAACTTTCTTTGTATTCTTACACCTAATTGTTGTTCTCCTGTTCTCTTAGATTGGTTCTGATAAGTGGCTTTCCCTTCATTCAGTGATGAGATTCTTCATTTAGTCTCCAGATTCCCTATTTGGCAAAGCCATGCAATTTTGGAACTAGATACAGGATTCTTAGTGATAACCGCTTCACTGCCTTCCAAGTGTATTTAGCTGACGCGGCTTATTTAAAGCTCTTGTGCTAGTTTCCTCTTTGTTCTTCCCATTTTCGCCTTGTAAGAATATCCTACGGTGAGTGTGCTGATCTAATAGCTCAGTGATAGAGCCGCTTCTCTTTGAAGACAGTTATTTAAAATATTCATTCAGTTACAATATAGCAGTTTTTTGTACATCATTGTGCAGAACAACTAGAGCATGCTGTAATATTATGCAGGTAATTACCATGTTTAGAATAAGTCTGACGTGTATGAATCACTGTGCTTCCTTATCCATGTGCCTGTTGCTCAAGCCTTTGTAAAACTGTTTCAGGTTGGGTTTTTTCCCTAGTTCTTGAATTATTTCACAGAATGGTTGAAATCAGAAGGGCCTCTTCTTTTAAAACTCATTTGTCTTGTGGACTTGCTTCTCCTGAAGTCCTTTGGCATATGTAGTTTACTGTTATCATCTGTCTAAAAAGTGAAATGCTAGTCCATTAAAAAAATAAACCGAAAATGTAAGAATCGCTCCAAGAAGACCTCTCTTACAGCAGTTCTTCACTAGAGGCCTTCACACGTGTGACTCGCGCATTGGTCATCTGATGTTTGCAGTTAATTTGGTCATGCTGATATTGTGTATGTGACCTTCTTTATCTGTCAATATTTACCCTTGATAGGTATAGACGTAAATATCACTATCATCTCTGAGCCTGGATATAGTATTTGTTATAAATAGAATGCTACTGAGACAACATTCACCTTAAGCTGAAGTGGAAATTTTTGTCCACTTAACCTCTTTCTTAAAGTCTGCGGACAAAGATGAGATAGACTAAAGTTGAGGAATAAAGTAGTTAAACTATGAAAAGATGAATTAATTATAAAAATGGAAAACAAACATCCTTTTCTCCCTTCTCTCCCACTCTGGTCTTGACTTTGAGTGGGATAGTGTATATTTTTAAGACTGTCCTCTCCAGTCATGAAAAAATGACAAACTTTCCTTCTGCTCAAAATGGAATAATAAGTAAATTTAAATCATCGGTATTTTAAAATGAAATAAACTAACTTGTCCTATGAAATAAGTGGTCATTCTGCAATAGCTGTTGCTGACTACATGGAAAAGTAAGTATTAGTTTATGCGTTGGAAATAATTGCTACAGGTAACAGTAAACAGATACCATCCCTAAACAGGTACGCTTGGGGACTACAAGCATAACTTCAGATTTTTCATGTGTTCCTTTATTTGGATTAGTATTTCAGTTAAAGACTGTTATGCTTTTAGAATTCAGGGTGTGCATTTGATTACCGTGCATGAAATGTATACTGCTGTAAAATAGTCTTTTACTTCCTAGTATTTGCTTGGCTGTGGACTCTCTGCTGAGCTTTAACATATTGAGGATCTGTGTAGCTGCTGCACCAGCTCTGACCTGAATTAAGTTTGCAAACCAAAGTTTTGCATCTGGTAACATTTGGAACTCTGTGTTTCATTATGAATGGTTATGTAGATATACATGACTCCTGTCTGTTTGATGGGCTCTCAGCACGTTCAAAAGAGCATGCAAGCATGCACTTTTCTGTTTTTTGACTTTTATATAATGTATATCCCTATTAAAAATTAATAGTGTACAATATACTTCTGCCTGGAGCCACAAATATTAACTTAAATTTCCCTTTTTAGTACAGGTATCCTATTTCCATGTTGTTTATTTAGAAAGCTGTATGTACAGTCCTGTTCAGTGTTTTCCTTGTACAGTGAATTTCCACTGATATTTGTCCGTCTGCACACAGCAATAGAGGCTAAAGATTTTTTTTTTTTTTAGGTTGCATTCCAGCATTTTTTTCTAATGTTACAGACATGTCTAGGCGCATTTGCAGTTGTGTAGCTTGAATTTTTTTTCTGCTTTTGTTAATTGCCAAGTTGACTGTCAGCTACTATATTCTGTAAAAATGGAGCTGGAGAATATAACAACTATTTTTGATGTGCCCAGTGCATGCCCTAAGTAGAACACTTGCTGTGTTGTTTATTGACTGTTAGTGTGCATTCTAATTTGTGTTTCCTGGCAGTGTTGTTTGTGTTGGTGGGGACGGCATGTTCAGTGAAGTGATGCATGGTCTCATTGGAAGAATGCAGAAGGACTCTGGCATAGACCAAAATAATCCCAAAGCACCGTTAGTCCAGTGCAATAT